CTTTCAGCCCGTTACAGAGGCAGCTGAGCACCTCGGAAAGCACTCGCTCCTGTCATCCTTCCATGAGATAGGAAACGGCTCTTCCCACCGCGTTACAGCTGGCGCTGAAGCACCGAGGCATGACACGGGTTATTTACCCGGTTGCTTTTCTCTCTCGCCTTTCCAGCCCAGCCTCAGCAAGGTCCCATTCAAAGCTCACCACTGCATCCCTGCCATGGTGCTGAAGAGGTACAGAGGTGCCTTCCAAGCCATTAGTTTTATGGCCAAATATTGGAGACGTTGAGACTTCCAGTGCTTGGCTGAACATCACTGCAGCCCCAGGTTTATCTGAAACATTCTAACTGGCTTTTTACAGCGTCTTTCACACAAATCATATTCTCCCACCTTTTGCCTCAAAGAAAAGAATATACATGGAGTTGCTTAGGAGGAACATTCATCCAAAAGCAAAGAATCCCTACAAACAAGAACACGTTAGTACAGAGGTGGCACTCAGTGACAGTCTGTCCACCCAGCTCACACTCATGGACGTAGCACAATTGTGTCTCATTAAACTTCACTAAGCTTGGAAAGAAAACACCGAAACTGAAATTTTGAAAATGTCATCATTATACAAAAACTTTACCTCAATCACATATTTCTCTAGGAAATAAAATCTTTGTGCATTAAAGGTTCTATACTGAATACTAAAATACTAATATTAGTAACAATATGACTTCTAATACTTCTGAGTTTGTAATTAACAGTCTGCTGATACAGACAAATCACAAATACCATCTGCCAGTTACAGAGGCTCAAGGGCAAAAAATGGCATACAAATCTTTGGCATGGAAAGAAGGGAGAACCCTCCCGTGGATTCAGAAGGCTCTCCACAGACTCAAGCAAATGTGCCTGCACCTCACACAAGCCATCTCGTTAGATTTTTTCCTGGAAATTATAGCAGCCAGAAGTTTGGGTTAGAAAAAGGAGAGCTACATTCTGGAGAATAAACTGGCACTTTGGAAGAGGGCTGACACACCTTATGACTACATCCTGGCACAGCCTGAACTCGAGGATTGACACACAGACAGGAATCTGGTGCAACCAAGTTATTTTCCACCTCCAAACTGCCATCTAAAGGTGCCCGTCTCCTGCACTGACAACAAGTCAAGAGAGACCAGTCCTCTATGCCCAAAGTTAATCCTTTAAAAAACCTCCCAGAGTGGAGTTCAAGAGACTGAATGATGGCTGAGAGCCGTGATTCAATTCACATTTCCGCTTTCACTTTGAGGATCACGGACTGGAGATAATCTCCACCCTCTGCAGGCAGATGCTACTTCTCCCTCATGCAAGCTTCAGCGTGCCAAAAGGCACATTGGGCAGAAGAAAAGCAGAGTCCATCTTTAGGTTTTTGGTTGCTTTTCTTCCTAATCCACCCCTAGAAGCAACTTTTATTTCTAGGTCACTTGACTGACCTTTATAGGTAGTGAACTACACCTTTGTAAAGATGAATCGGATAAACCGTGATCCTCCCACTATCAGTAATGAGAAACTGCTTCCCACCTGGGAATACCATTATAAATCGCCCTAAGCAGTATCTCTTAGCCCTTGATAAGGCACAGATCCCAGTCCAGGAGGAGGACACGCACTCACTCCCAGTCACAAAGCCAGTATGTCTCTGAGGAAACTCAGCAGATAGTGCGTTCCCCTTTATGCAAGTTACTTATCAGTTCGTAACCAATCTCCACAGATGCATCAACACTTCTTAAGTTAAGAGGAATTCAAAAGCAATTAAAAAACCCCCCCCACATTAGCATTTATAATGAAATTACAAACAGAATTGTTGTGCCAGCCTTACCTGTGGCATGTGTAAGTCAGGTATTCCC